CGAAGAAATAAGCGAGGAACATGCTCTCCAGGTCCTCCCAGCTGTTAATGCTTCCGGGCTTGAGACGACGGTACCAATCGAAGGTAGACCCGCGAAGGGTGCCAACGAATGACCGCATCATCAAGGGCTCGTTGCCAGAAATTATTCCCAAATAAGACTTAAAATATATTAAGTGCTGAGTAGGGGAACCATTTTCGTCAAACGGCGTGAAGTTGATCAAGTTGATCTTTACCGGATATGGGATCGAATTCCACTTTCTTGGGTAGGGAGACGGAATACCGGTCCTTTTTATCCCCTGAACGGACATCAGCGCGTTGATTTTGCTCTCGAGATCTTTTATTTTATCGTCCTCGTCTGTATCAGATCTTGGACGATTCCTGAGAGGAATAACGAGGTCACCCCCAACATTGTCATCTTTGGTGGGACCACCCCCAGTATTGTTGTTCTTAGTGGGACCACCCCCAGCGTTCTGGTCAATGGGAGGGTCATCAGCCTTAAGATGTTCATCCGTATCTGAATCACTATCTGTTTGATTAGCATTGTTGCGATGGTTGGATTCACCGAATTGATTGGACATAGCCCGAATTTGTTGGTCATGCTCTTCCCTCATTCGTAGCATAGCCATTTTTATTTCGATCTTGAATGCCTCTTTCTGCTTGGCCAAGGCATCCTCAACCATTTTGGCTACTTCCTCTGTGTTAATCATAAACACTTCACGGGATTGTCCCGGACTGGATACCGTATTATCAGAAGCGATTGCCGAGTTAGCATCCGATGCTTCATCATCCGAGGATAACCCTCTCTGCATCCTCTGATAATCCCTTTGTCTAATAGGTCCTGATCGTAACCGGGATAGACGATGCGATACAAGCGGATCAGAGCTAGAAGGTCGAATCGATTTTCTCTTATCAACCATATTGATGGTAACCTCTGGGGGTTCGTCACCTTGAACGACCGATCATTTCTTACGGAGACGCTTTGGATTGGACTTAGCCTTTCCGTTGGAAATCCTCTCAAATACCGAGACCCTCTGCGGAGCGGTCTTGAGGCAGCTACACGCTGATAATACCATCCTGATAAATTTGGTACACGGACAGTGAGAGTCCGCTTCCCAGGTACTTCTCTTTCGAGATTTATTCGTACCCCCAGCCCGATAGTATAACTCATCGACGTTGCGGTCAGAGCAACCTATCGGTTGTTTACATGAATTCTTAGGTATAACGCATTCTTCTGTCTGACGCGTTTTCATTTGAGTAAACATCACATTGTTGGCGTCTACAGGAGTCACACGCTTGGAATCACACCTTTGTGAGGGTGAAACCTTAACGGGCTCCTGGTTTTCTGCACGCACCGCCAAGCGGGCCGTTGTAGAAATTAATTTGTTAGGAGGTCGCGTACGACCCCCAGTCCGGATGTTTGCTCGAAGCTCCATCAATGGTCTTAAGTTTTCCTTAACGGGGCGCTTTTCCTCGATCCTCGGTAGAGAACCGATGCGATCCTTCAATGGGACTCTAGATTTGGGAAGATTCACGCTGTCATAGGGCTTCACCGGAGGTGCGGGAGCAATAGGAGCGGGATCTGGAGTTGACAAAGGCCGGAGAGCAGCCTCGGATACTTTTGCCTTAGGCGCTGATTTGGCCTTTGACATCCAAACTTGTTTAGATCTTGGTGGCTTTTTTACTACCTTTCCTTTCTGTAACTCCTGTGCATTCCGTACAAGGATCCTCGTCTGCACTAACAGTGTGCGGTGCTTATGGATACGCTCCTCAAGAGTTGAACGAGTTTGTTTGACACGAACCCATTCGTTAGTAGGTGGTTGGGAGGAGGTTCCCAAAGATGGTTGCTGGAACACTTTACGCCTTCTGAGTTTCAGATCCGCATCATAGCAGAGCCCGTCAATAGGCTCCAAAGCCTTGGCAAATTAACGCGTGAGATGTTGACGGCGCCTTTGACGAGCCCTCTTCGTCAGCACTGGTGCACTTTTAACGGGCAACTCCTTGACTTTCGAGAAGTTGTCACGAACATTGGATCTGGTTTCTTTGGAGCCGGAGAGGAATCTTCCACTGCATTCGGGTTCAGATCATCAGCCTTGGTTTTTGGATCTGAAGTCACGTTCTTCGCGGCAGCGGTTTTCCTGCGTTTGCAAGAAGAAGATCTGGAGGAGGAGGAGGAAATATATTCCTCGAATTTCTGCTGGTCGAATTCGTATTCGACCTCTTTGAACACCGGGATCTTGATCGTCGGCTGCGTCACGACAGCCTCGGCAGCGAGGCTGTTGGCTCCCACTGTGGTCGCCAGTTTGTTTGCAGTAAAAGTTGATTTCTTCATTGATGAATCTATTACACGTTTATCGATTACAAATTCAAAATAAAATTAGTCTTTTTATAAGACTTTCTTACACAATGAAAAAAAATAAAAAAATACAACTCTCTTCAAATAAACGCAACGGGTGTTTATCGCCCGCTGCTTGCGTGGGATCTTGGCCTGTGACGTGGATGTTGATATCCGTGGACCACCGTCGATCAGATCTGATTGCTGAAAAATTGGGCAGATCTTCGTTGATTCGCGAAGGAATCAAGAAGCCGTAGCGCTTATCTCGGCAACGGCGAGATAATTGCTCTTCTTAAGATCACCACAACAGGGTAATCTTAAGGAACGAACACGAGAGCTGCAGATCTGACGAGCTCCTCTTCTTTATACCGATGAACTCGATCCAATCTCTCCTCCTCTCTGAAATTCGTGCACCTTCAGTCTTCAGTCCGGCAGGGCTTCGCCAACGCTCGAGAATTCCAGATCTGAAAAAATGAAGGCATTGGGGCTGTATTTATAGGCTCCAGGAAGTCCGGGCGGTTAAAACCGCATAACGGCTAATTTTTAAGGCTGGAGACACCCTTGGGTGTCTCAGCGAGGCCGAGACACCCTTGGCCGAGACACCTTGGGATGTCTCGGTTGGGCCGAGACACCTCGGGGTGTCTCAACTTAGGCTGAGACGCTTTGTTTTGCACACTTGTCTATTTCCGCCGAAACTTCTTCATCCGAACTCGGATTTGAGTGATTCAAAGTGCGTTGGAAAGCCGGCGAGGAGATCTATAAACTCCGATGGTTTAGGCCATTGTGGATTAAACTAGGATACGAGCGGCGTTTCGTCTTTTGTAAGCGACACTGGGCTCCCGATCAGTTCGTATCCTCGTTATTCTGAAACTTCGTTACTTCACGTAGTTCGTCGATTCACTTTAAGCGTTCGTCGACATCAATCAAGCTTCTGTAACTTGGATAGTGACGTTCATCGTCTTCTCTTAGCACCGAGCTGTTCGTGGAGACCTATAGGTAATTTTTGACGCCTACACTTTGCATTTAGCAAGAAATCCAGCTTTTCATTCAAAGACAAAACACATTCGAGTATAGTACCACTTCGTTCATGAGAAGTGGAAGAAGGAATAGTGTATATGCATAAAATTCACACCAAAGATAACTTAAACATATTTTTTGACAAAAACAGTAAATACTGATAAATTTATTTGGTGTCGATTCTCTTGTGGTCTGTCGGAGACGTGAGCAACATAAAGATGATAAGATAGAAAGAATGGTGTGACGATATGATTGATACTCAATCAAATCTTCAAGTGAGAGATTGTTTGCCAAAATTGTTGAAGGAGAAAAAATGAATGGGCCCCACCACTCAGATTATTCACCGAAAGTTAGGCACCGTTTTGAAAAATTATTAAAAATTTATGAATAGTGATTTCTCGGTTGCTATAAATAGGTCTAAGACTCTTTAGGAAAAATCTATCCCAGAAATAACTCTACATATAACAGAGTGAGAGAGAAAAATAGAGAGTTTTTCCTTGTTAAAAGAGATTGTAACTCCAAAATCAACCCCTTACAATAAAAGGAGAGTTCGTTGGGAGGAGAGGGAGAGGGACTAGGAGGGGGAGAGAGGAGTTCGTTGGGTTTTTGGGTTTTGGGAGAAATGCACGGGAACTAGTCCCATGCGGTCGATTTTGCTGAATAAAATTGTAAGGGGTCGATTTTGCTTATTAATATTAAAAAAGAGTCGTTTTTAAAAATTTGTCCAAACATTAATTGATCATAAAAGGGGAAAATTCAATGTATACATTACAAAATTTCACAAGATCTTTGACGGATCAGTACTAGATACCCAATACAGTACAGGAGTTTGAAGACCTGAGAAAATTATAAAAATTCTTGAGACAAAGTAATTCAATATTTATTTTTAAGATCTCACTACCAATTTTCATGATATCTTCTGTATACCAAACAAAACACTTCTGGGAAGTTTCAACTTTCAAATGCTAACCCATTGAAACAAACAATGATTTATGAAAATAGAAACATCCAAGAATATCCAAATTTGTCTACTGTAAATGATTTGGAAGAAAAAAGTCAATCAATGTGCTCCATGATTTCTCCAGTCTATGGTATCCATGTCAACAGGTCATCTCACTATAACATTTGAAAGTAAAGGGAGAACTTGACCTTTTATTTAAGTACAAAGCTCTGACATTAAGCATCCTTCTGTTTTCTCCACTTTATCAATAATTGGGGCTGACAGGTTTCATTATAGCTGATATACCAGGAATTACAGAATATATAACATCTTTCTTGCAGTTACCTCAGAAGACTGCAGGACTTCCTAACATGTTGTAAAATGATAAAGCACTTTGAAATTTTAGTAAAATACATAAACTTGCACGCATGAGGCATACTTGTTCAATGTTCACCTACTAAGTAGCAACCTACTCACCTACTAGTTTCAGTCTATATGGATTTGGAAATGAATTCATGTAGATGATTAGGTAAAAAGAATCTTGCAAAATTGTGCGATTTAAAATTGTCCAAGTTGTGATTCGTGATACAAAAAAAATCAACACCAAGGTTGAATAAACTCCCTCATCATGACCATTGACTTTGAACAAGTCAGTCAATGAAAATACTATGTCATCATCCTGGCATATTCTGAAAATGCAAATTCCTATTATACATATGCCCCTGTTGAGCATACTTTTAGAACAGTTCTGTTGAAATAAACCAGAAGCTTAGTCATAGAAGGTCAAGGGAAGGAGTTCCTTCTGATTGGTATTCTTCAAGTTTAATGAACAAGGCAGCAGCAATAAGAGGTATCCTACTTTTCGCTTTGATCCTCACAAGCAAGGAAAAGATTCCTTATTGGCAGACAATGCAGAAGCTCTGAGAGCTTAAGATGGAGAGATCAGAGCACCATCTCATGTCCAACCTTTTCCTAGTCCTTGTAGCCACAGCAGTATGTATTCATGGTGACAATCAAACAGCTCCCTTCCATGTAGGTGTGCTCCTTGACTTGGACACACTGGTAGGGAAGATGGGCTGGATAAGTATCTTGATGGCAATTGATGACTTCTATGACTTACACAGAAACTATACTACGAGGGTGGTTCTCCATGCCAGGGATACCAACAATGACATCGTGCAAGCTGCAGCCTCAGGTAATTACAGTTTGTGATCAATCATAGTGCAAGAGTTTATTTATTTATTTATTTTCCTCATTGCTTTGTATCCAACTTCCAAGAAAATGTGTTCATGCTCCATCGATCTCCTTGCTACTCAGTTTAACAATTAAACAAATATCCACTTATTGAATGAATTAAAAAATTTGATCCACAGCTAAAAGGGCAAAGAGGTAAGGATATTTGCAGATACATCCCCATGCCAATGGAAACTTCTAAGCATAATGTAGATGGCCTGATTCCATGTATTTGACAAAGTAATATTTGGTCAACACTTGAATAAGATGCGGTTTAACCACCAATTTCCCATATATTCCTGAATCCTCTATGGACCCAATTGATCTGGTATCATATCTGAGTTCAGGTCCATAGGAGTATCTACAGGCCTACATCCTACAACCCCAGACACGTCAACACATAATTCATATGGTTCATACCAATCCAAGGAGATGGAGATAGTTAGTGAAGCATCCAGGAAATATAAAGATCATTTATAAACTTATATATGAATTTCTACAGCCACATTTTCAATTAAGCAATATGGAGATGTACATCAAGGAATTGTTGCAAAATATCAACCATGGCAATCCATAGAACTATTTAAAATATAAAAGATACATGAACATTCAGAAGTGACCTGCATGTTCCTAAGAAGTGTTCAAGAAGAACTGCGTATATTACATGCCAGACAAGGACGCATGTTCATGACAGTGTTTGTGCTGCATAGAAACTATGGTTCATGTTAAGGTCCAAGTCGAAATTCAACTATAAATTAGGAACTTTCATTTGGAATGGTAAATGGAGATATTTAAAAATATACCTAGCTATATCGTAGGAATGCAGACAAGGCAAAGCGAAGGCAATAAAGACTACAAAGACAATGGACGAATACAAATTCATACAGTTGATATAAATGATAGCCTAAACGGATGTACAGAACATCCACATAATTATGCAAAATTGCTAATTACAGACATACTATTACTAACTATATTCTATAGGAATATTGTTAAAATAACTAACGTAAAATATCAATTATCTAGTCATAATATTTATAACCAATATTGTATCCATGAATTATGGCAGCATAAACTGTTATCATGGCTCCCAGTCTCCTTTGTAAAGTTTGATTTCTTGGTACATTCTTGACATGCAGCTATCGACTTGTTGGAGAACTCAAAAGTGAAAGCCATTATAGGTCCCCAGAAATCATCACAGGCCATCTTCCTATCTGAGCTTGCTGACAAGTCTCAGGTCCCCCTCCTCTCCTTCTCAGCAACAAGCCCCTCCCTCTCGTACATACATACGCCTTACCTGATATGCACAATGCTTAATGACTCCTCCCAGGTGAATGGGCCTCTTTCGTCCATCATTGAGGCCTTCGGGTGGAAGGAAGTGGTCCCTATTTATGAAGACACCGAATATGGGAGGGGAATTCTGCCTTACCTTATTGACACATTTCAAGGGATGGGCACGTCTATAGCATACCGCAGTCTGATCTCTCTTTTGCTCACCGACGATCAGATCATGAAAGAGCTCTACAAATTGATGACAATGGAGGCACGAGTATTTATCGTGCACATGACACCCCCAATAGGGGCTCGTTTCTTCGCAAAGGCAGAAGAGGTTGGAATGATGAGCAAAGGGTATGCATGGATAATGACCAGCGGGCTCTCAAATATTGTGGACTCACTTGATCAATCAGTCATCCAATCAATGCAAGGTTCTCTGGGTATGAAGCTATATGTTCCAAAATCAAAGGAAATTAATGAATTTTCTGCCCGGTGGAAGAGAAGATTCCAACAGGAGAACCCACTGGATCAACCTGCTGTGCCAAGCATCTTCGAATTCCGTGCATATGATACGGCTTGGGCATTAGCAATTGCAGCAGAGAAGGTTGGAGTTGAAAAGACTCACCTTCAAAAGTCACTGAGTAATAGTAGCTCCACGAGCCTGGACACATTAAGTTCGTCGACAAATGGTCCAAAACTTCTTGAAGCAATCTTGAATTGCAGATTTGGAGGACTCAGTGGCCAATTCCATCTCTTAGGCAGGGAATTACAATCTTCTACATTCAAAATAATCAATATCGTTGGGAAAGGAGAGAGACAACTTGGATTCTGGACCCCAAAATACGGGATATCAAGAAAGCTGAACCCAAGTATAAAGGAGACTTACTCAACTGCAATCGACAATCTGAATCCCATAATCTGGCCGGGGGAGACCAGTATAGTGCCAAAGGGTTGGCAAACTCCAGTTAGTGGGAAGAAGCTAAGGATCGGTGTTCCTATAAAAGATGATTTCCAGGAATTCGTGAAGGTGGAAAAGGATCCTATCACCAATGCAATAACAGTGACTGGATTCAGCATAGATGTCTTTGAGGCTGTAGTACAATCTTTGCCTTATGCCATCTCTTATGATTATATTCCATTTGCAGATGTACAAGGGAAGAGTGCTGGAAGTTATGATGATCTTGTGTACCAAGTTCATCTACAGGTGAATAAATGAAGGAATGAAAAAGTTTTATCCCCTATCTACTATATGTTTTAACTTGCATATAAAAAAGTCGAAATGTTTTATTGGCTTAGTCAATTCTTAGGAAAGTACCGACAAACCTTGAAGACGATCATATTCATAGATACCAATTTATCGTACATCTCTAGATCAGTTAGATATTTTTGACAATAGAAAATGAATTGTCTTAAACATCCTCAACATTTCTCATCTTTAATTTTTCATTTTACGATCCTTGACACATAAGCTATTAGAATAGTATCTTTCAAATCTCTTAAAGCAGTTGCAGAATATTCCATCAATTTTAATCATGTTTTAAGGTATTTTGATAGTTTTAAAGATTTATTGCCTAGGTTTTGGAGAAGCATGTCTCATAATTTATGACATAAAGTGATATTTCCTTCCCATTTTCTTGGATTAGTTGATGACACATATTGAGTTTGTACTAAACAAGTTATGGTTTCGCAGAATTATGATGCTGTGGTAGGTGATGTGGCCATCATCGCGAACAGATCTATGTATGTGGATTTCACACTACCCTACACTGAGACAGGAGTAGCAATGCTTGTCCCGGTCAAAGAAAATATAAACAAGTGCTCTTGGATATTTTTGAAGCCATTGACTTGGGACCTTTGGTTGGCTAGCTTCGCCTTCTTTCTTTTCACAGGGTTTGTTGTATGGGTGATGGAACATCGAATCAACAATGAATTCAGGGGTCCATTTTCTCAACAGATTGGAACTGTTCTGTATTTCGCCTTCTCAATGCTTGTCTTTGCCCACAGTTGAGTAGAAATATGCTTTATTAATGAATTTACAGTAAGATACAAATTAATTTCACAAGAATATAAAGTGTCACTTGAGTTCTTTTGCCAAAACAATACAACAAACTAATAAGAGGAACAGCTACTATACATATTAGTTACTGCTTGTTTTAGTTGCCAATAACATTTAGTAGCAATATATGGACAAACAATAAACTGAAAAAACTTAATGTTGTTATTATATCATCTTCACTTTCATGCAACTGGTTTATCTCCCAAGAAAACATTACGTAGAAAAAACTTTATGTGGCATTAGCTCTTGTCCATAAATTATGTATTCATAGCTCACTATTTTTCCTTATTGCTATAAGTTACTACCACCGTAAATGCAGCAGCAAGAAAGCCTTTATACTTGGGATTCAGATTGTTGATTGTTGATTGCAGTTGATTAAATCTCCTTTATCTCCCAAGTATTTCATATTTAAAAATATGCATACAGTGAAAATACTTATCCACATCAAACAACAATGCTAGTTAATAACAAATTCTAGTATTTGATTTATATTTAGAATTTCTATGTTTTGAAGCTTAAACAGCAGATTCAAACCTTAGCTCAATCCAATTTAAAACAATCTAAAATCAGGGGGGAAACTGCTTGGGTTTAAGCTATAGCCAACAATCAACTAAGTGCAGATCCAAAGGAGAGCAGCATAAGAAGTCCACATAATACCAGAAGAGAGTTTGTGATATAGAACCTCGCAAACAAGTAGTAACAAAGTATGACTTATTCAATTGGGATATCAATTACAGATTAGATTTCACTTTATTCATTTGAGGAGAGCGACAGTATGTTGATGGCATAAAAAGGTACGAACTCTGACTTCTTGTCAAATTCTAACCAATCTACAATCATGCTTGCAGGGGAAAAGATCAAGAATGTTTTGTCAAGGCTAGTAGTGATCATATGGTTATTTGCAGTGCTTATACTGACATCAAGTTATACTGCTAACTTAAGCTCAATGCTGACAGTTGAACAACAGCAGCCAATAGTAAGTGATGTGAACCAACTCAAAATGAGTGGAGACTATATTGGATACCAAAAGGGAACCTTTGAGGAAGGATTGCTTAAGCAACACCAATTTGACGAGAGGAAAATGAGGTCTTATAATAATCCTGATGAATACGCTGAGGCACTCTCTAAAGGAAGCAAAAACGGAGGGGTTGCTGCAATTTTCCATGGAATCCCATATATCAAGCTGTTCCTTGCAAAACATTGTACCGGCTACACAATGGTTGGGCCAGTTTACAAGGCAGGAGGAATGGGATTTGTAAGTTTCATTCTCCATCTTTCTTCATGACTAAGGCATGATTAATATTTCACAAAGAAAAACATCCTTTATCTTCAAACCGATGGCATGCTTAATTTTTCACAAAGCTTAAAACAATAACACACTGATAAATTTCTTATAGTTCAGTCATTCACTTGCTAGAACTTAGGACATTTATAAAAATATGATTATTTCTGGGCACTTCCTATATAACAATAAGATACTTATTATTCATAGTTTCTGTAGAGTAATAAAAAATTATGACAGCAGATATCTTTGTTTTCTTCTTCTTCTTATTATTATTATTTTGCTACCAAAACTAACTGACCCATGACAGGGGAGTTTCTATTCTGTGTAAACTTCCTATATATGTGACGTGTCCCTGACCCCTCCCCTAAATGTTATTACCTTCATTCATTTTCAATAAAGGAGAATGCTCTCGAGATATAAACTTTCTAAGGTTACAGAAAGCGGTAGGCGGCCCAGGGACTGGGTCTGGAGCCTAGAACTGATGCGCCTAGGCAAGGCCTATGCAGTTTTCCTACATATTTACCTGTTAGTCACAATAATTGATATAAATGCCACTATCATAGAAAGCGCTAGGTACCGATAGGGGCCGGATAGGTGCCTAGTGCCTAGGCGCTTAGGTAGATTTCTTTCTTTTGTTTAAGTGGTGGTGGTGGAGGTTTTCTAAAAGTCGGAGGGGGTGGAGGTTTAAGTGGAGAAGGTGTTTATAGTTAGTGGAGGAGTTTGGAGGAGGTGTTTATAGTTAGTGGAGGAGTTTGGAGGAGGTTGGAGGACATGAAGGCTACAGGAGGAAATTACAATTTCATGCCCAGGACCTAAGCAGTGTAGTCCGTGTAAGCAGTCCATGCTCCCCTAGGAGCTCCCAAGACATAGGCGGACGGCCTAGGGGGGCTAGGCATCTGCATTTAAAACATTGAAAGTTTCTCAAATTTAAAATGTTTCCCTCTCAATATCATCACTATCACCATCATCATCCTCACCACCACCAACATTATCATCTAAGCCTTTTCCTATCAAACTGCAGTTAGCTACAAGAAAGAAGGCTTTTATGGAAGCTTTGAGTACTGGTGGTTGACCTGACACCAGCCCTTTGAATATGCTAAATTCTTTGCCAAGAAAATTATGGAAAGCTAGTGGCTTTGTCATAAAATCCTGGAAGCCTGCTAGGTGCCAACTTTACTAGTCATACATATTAACTTGGTGCACTAGGTGAGAAGATGGTATATTGGTATATTTTTTTTTTTCATAGGATACTTATATCAAATAAGAAATAAAGTAAACCACAACATGCATAAGCTTTTCTTTAAGAATGAAGTTCATAAGCACATGTAACTCATGGCACACTCTAGACAAGTTTCAATGCCATGCAAGGTAAGGCTCTAGCTTTGCCAACTTTCATTTCTTACAAAATATATGTGCAAATTAGTAAACATCTCTTAATCCCACAGGTATTTCCTAAAGGATCTCCTCTACTCCCTGACATCTCAAGAGGGATCCTAAATGTCACAGAGGGAGATATCATGGTTGAAATTGAGAAAAAGTGGTTTGGCGAGCAAGTGTGTCTAAATGAAGGAAACACTGTCAGCTCTAATAACCTCACGTTTCATAGCTTCTCAGGAGTATTTCTTATCACTGGGACAGCTTCAGCCAGTATCCTCTTTATATTCTTGACACAGTTTTTCTACAAGAACTGGAACGAACTGAAAATAGTTGGTCAGAACAAGTCTATTTGGCAGACACTGAATGCATCTTTCAAATTCTACAACAAGAAAGACGCAAGTTTTTATATATTCAATACAGACAAAATTGTAGATGAGGACAGCACAGTCAGAGTAAATGGCAAGCAAGGTTCCAGCATTACATTCTCAGAAAGCGTTGATAACATAGATGACACATCAAGCTTTTCCTACTCGCCAGATGTAAACTCTTCCTTCCAAAGAAGAAATACCCCCTACAGAATTGGTAATTTCACCAACACAAGAACAGTCAGTGGAGGCGATCGCCTAGGTAATGTAGAGACCAGTCCACATTTGTAACCTCACAAATAGCTAAGTTTTTATATTACTCATCTCAAACACCTCAGCTACTAATTCTTCTCTTAAATGAAAGTCTAAAAAATAGTTTTAAGTATTGTAACTGTTGACATGCACGTGAATATTCATGAACTGTAACTATGATAGCAACTGTTGGATTGCTATGGTTGGATATTTCTATGTCAGTCTAACTGGTTGTCGTCTTAGCTTCTCTTATGTATATCAAATTGATTTAACACTTCCCTCCCTAGCTAAAATTTACAAAAAAGTTTCAAGCTATCTTAGTTTCTTTCAGTTTCAAATTTCAGTATGGACTTTCTTTGAAGTACTTATATCCTTGAAGTCTTTCGTAAGTGATAAGATTAGTCTGCCAAGCTTATACAAAAGGGAGTCACTTTATTTTCTTGATCATCAATTTCTTCAATTAAATTTATTATCTTTTTTATTTAAAGAAAAAGAATCCAGGAAATTTGTTAAGATTTCTAAGTTAATTATGAATTTTACATTCTAAATCACAATGACAATAATCAAACAAGCTGTACAAGCAATGCTCACTCATCCCATGGGTTGTGAGCATTAAGAATTGAATAGGTTGATCAAACATCGAAATCCTAAACATTCATAATGGTGTGGAAGATGACATGGTAAACATCTGGGCCCATAAATCTGGAGACATAGTTGGTTTAGGAAGTTGCATTGACAATTACTTGGACATAAGTTTAGGGAACAGAAGGGAACTTCTCTTGCACAATAGAAGCTCGTCAAACACAGAGAACCAAAATAAATCTCTTCCATTTTTCATATGGTTCCACCACTCCCTTTGGCATCGACTACTTATTTGAGAATTTGATTTGCAAACCATATTCTCGACCTGCGCATTATGGTGTCCGTAATTTGAAAGCCACGTACTAATTGAACAGCTCAAATTTAGGTCTTCCCGTCTATCACACATACTATATATGTGACAATGCACGTTGATAATACTTGAGAGCACAAGTTTAGTGCTTAATTTCAAGACAGAACTCCACATAATTATCAGGTGAAATATTGCTAAAAAATATCGATCCGTGTGTAAATACAAAAATATATTTATGCATACCAACACAAAAATTGCAATTACAGCAACAAACAAAGCCCATTCAGATAACAGACGATTTCATTACAAATATCCTATGGAACCCTCTATAGATGAAAATAGATATCTCAATAACCTATCAATAATTGGGTAATGACTATCAACCCTTAAAAAACGTTGGATTATTATCCATAAACACAACCAGCAAACTGAACAAAGCTTTAGTTTATGAAATCAAAACAGAAGATTCTAACCCTTGATAGCTATCAACATAATACTTTCATAATTTTGAGGCAATCCAGTTTGTCTTCAAGTAGCATGTGGTCGACTAATTTCTGATAAACTCCTGAAACCGTTTTTTTATCGCGAAAGAGACCCTAAAACGAAGAACAAAGGTAAATGTGAGCACAATCACATACCATTATATAAATTAATCTTTTTAATGATTATGGATAACAAAGAAGCTACATATAGAAAATACTCACCAAGAGAGGGCAATTTTAATTTGGGCATCACAAAAATTGGATCGCAACAGAATTTGTGGGGGCACGGCTGGATTTCTAATCTGACTCCCATCAAGCAGGGAGCTTCAATTGAAAGAAAAATATGGCCAAATTGAAGCAAAAACGCAAACCCTAAAAAGATAATTAAGAGGGGTTAGTCGCTTTTAGAACCTAAAATTGGAACTGGATAATACATGCCATAAATTTTTAAGTTGTTAGACATAGAATTAGGGAGTGAGATATATTTTTTAGTGGTAGTCAAGTAGAATTTTTTTAGAACTAGAACCGCGATATTTTTTTTATGTGTTAGTTAAGTAGAAGTTTTCTAAAACTAGAATTGGGATAATTTGTCATAATTATCCTACTAATTATGCTACCTATATATATGTAGCCATCAGTTCATCTCTGTCAAATTATGCTACAGATTGATAAAGAATCAATTGAGAAAAAAGTGGAACTGCGACCTTTTGGAGAACATCACTTCTCCTCGGATCACATGTATTTCTGATCTCTCTCTCTCTCTCTTTTATTAGAACTTAAAAAGCCGATACTTCTTTAATTATTAGATCAAAAAATTGATTTCTTCTTTAATTAGGACATGATACGCAACCTTTTATGATTAGGGTTTATATGAAATTAGGGTTTATGTTACCGTGACTGTTAAATATTTGAATACATGCTATCGTAACTTTTGTGCATAGGAAAATGGGTGATGAATGATGTGTTTTCTGTGATTTTACATTATTTTAGGAATTTTAAAAATGAATATTTAATGCATGTAATTAGTTTGTTAGTATACGTTTAACCTATCCTAATTAAGTGGCTCTTATTATTTATACATTATATGTTCTTATTATTTATACATTATATGTTCATGCATGACGTTATATGATGAATTTTGGATTGTGATAATTATTTTAATTACAGTCTTTAAATATTTTTTATACTTATCTTTATAGCAGGCTGTTTATTTGGTATACTATGCTCATGCTATATGATGCACTCTACTGTAGGAATGCCAAAATGATTACTACTACCTTATGCAATAAGTTTTTCACTTTTTTGGCTAATACATACTATTTGTGCATGCTCTGTGATTATCATATGTTAGTAAATTATAAATTCTTATATGTAATTATGGTTGAACTCTTGCTAGTGAATTTTGAACATGAACTCTGTTTTAAGTGGTCCCAATGTTATGTATCTTTTTTATGCACTTTGATAATGCTAATATATACTCTACTCCATGTCATTGATTCCTACTCTCATTTGATGTCAAGCTGGGCATTCTGCTCACTAAGCCTTTAGATTTTTTCTAACAAGTTTGTCAAACTCTGGTATTGCTCATGCTCCATTTATGCAACTTGGCAGTAATTGTGATCCATGACTATTGATTTGTTATCATTTCATATCACAGTTATTTAGTCATGTATATTTAGGCTGATTAGCTAATTATATGTAAAGTAAATAATTGACTAATAATATTACTAATGCATGTGTATTTTCATTTTATTATTATTATTATTATTATTATTATTATTATTATTATTATTATTATATACATGTATGTTCTTTTTATATCAGATGCATGTATATTTTAATCCAATTCCATATTTGAGATTTTGAAAAGGTTATTTTTGAATTTTCTATAGGATGGACATAAGATCACAGAGTCAGGATCAAGAAGAAATATGTCAATGTCTAGGAAGTGAGGGACAACAAAGAGCAAGGATGGATTATAGACATGGACGAAAACAGAGGTTAAGGAATTGCTTAGACTATTAGTGAAGGAAGTTAAGAACGGGAATAAGCAAGCAAATGGTAGTTTTAAAAAGCATGTGATTATGAGGAATGTGATACCCCCTCTAGTTGAAAATTTTAGAAAAGATTTTAGATATAAATTTTTGATAATCAGGACTTCGATGATAATCTTTTGATTTGCATAATCGGATTAGTTGATGAGGTTGCATATATGATCACAAAGATATCAGGACTTCTATCATAGAAGTTCATAGCAAATACGTTTAGTTTCCGATGTCCTCGACGTGGTATTACAGATCTTAATCTCACATACTTACAGTCCAAGATGGATAATCATCAACAAGATTTTCATAGAATTTACCGCATGTACCCAGATTGCTTATAGTATTTCAGGCTCATCTATAAAAGAAACGAGACTAAAATACTTTGGAGGGGGTATCTGTAGGCGTCAAAAATTACCTATAGGTCCCCGTACATGGCTTGAGACAGAGAGAAGATGATGAACATCGCTATCCGAGTCACAAAAGCTTATTTAACATCGACAAGCGCATGAAGTGAGTCGATGAACTATGTGAAGCAACGGAACTGCAGAACAACGAGGAAACGAACTGATCGGGAGCTTCACGTTACTTACAAAAGACGAAATGCCTTCCATGTCCCATCCACTCCATAGATGATTCAATCATGGGAGCTTGTAGATCTTTTCGATGGCTTTCCGATGCATCTTGAATCGCATGATTCCGAGTTCGGACGACGAAGATACGACGAAAACGGACGGAACGCGCAGGACTACGTCCCGGGCCTCGACGAGACACCCATAGGTGTCATGGCCAACCCGAGACACCCAAAGTTGTCTCGGCTTGGACAAGACACTCAAAGGTGTCTCAGCCAAGCTGAGACACCCAGAGGTGTCTCAGATTGGCCGAGACACCCATTGGTGTCTCGGCCAAGTCGAGACACCCAAAGGTGTCTCGGACCTTGTAGCGTAATTTTGGTCATGATTCGATTCGAATATGAAGAAACTAAAAACATAAAAGTTGTAAATATCCTTGTTAGAATTCCAATTTATCTTGGATCAGGTCATTTGGAGATCATATGAGAAAGATAAAGCCAAAATACCAAAGATAGTACAAACTGCCTCAGAATTCCGAGCCAGTGTTGGTGTCTCGGATAAGAATGACAATTTTGGCCATGATCTGATTCGAATCTAAAGAAACTCAAAACATGAAAGTTGTAGATATCTTTGTCATATTTATTATACATCTAGAATTAGATAATTTAGAGGTCATATGAGAAAGTTAAGACCAAAATACCCGAGACACTCACTGGTGTCTCGGCCAGGCCGAGACACCCACGAGTGTCTCGATCAAGCCAAGACACCTACGGGTGTCCGCAACCCCCCAGAATGCTATTTTTGACTGTTTTGAGCCGTTTTTTAACATTAACCACCTGGATTTGTTCCAACTGATCTGAATCTATCCAAGAACGTGGTTAAGTGGTTACAACTAAGGATAAGAGGGAATTGGACATTCTTATCCGAAAACAGGGGTCCCTAAGCCTATAAATATAGCCCCAGGGTCTTTCATTTTTTTAGGAGATCTGGAATTCTCGAGCGTTGGCGAAGCCCTGCCGAATTGAGGACTGAAGAGCCAAGAATTTCAGAGAGGATGAGAGATCTGATCGAGTTCATCAGTATAAAGAAGAGGAACTCGTCAGATCTATACTTTTCGGTTCCTTCCTTAAGATCGCCCCGTTGCGGTGATCTCGAGAAGAGTGGTTATCTCGCCGTTGCCGAGATAACTGCTTTGGTTTCTTGATTCCTTCGCGAATCAACGAAGCTTCGGATCTGATCTGATCGTTTGGTGGTCTATGGATATCAACATCCCCGTCACAGGCCAAGATCCCACGCAAGCAGCGGACGATAAACACCTGTTGCGTTTGTTTGAAGAGAGTTGTATTTTTCTTATTTTCATTGTGTAAGAAAGTCTTATAAAAAGACTAATTTTACTTTGAATCTGTAATTGATAAACGTGTAATGGATTCGGCAATGAAGATATCAACTTTTACCGCAAACACGCGGGTGACCACAGTGGGAGCCTACAGCCTTGCTGCCGAGGCTGTCGTGCCACAGCCGACGATCAAGATCCCGGTGTTCGAAGAGGTCGAATACGAATTCGACCAGCAAAAATTTGAGGAATATATTTCCTCCTCCTCCTCCAGATCTTCTTCTTGCAAACGTAGGAAAACCACTGCCGCGAAGAACGTGCCTTCAGATCCGAAGACCAGGGCTAATGATCTGAACCCGAATGCAATGGAAGACCCCTCTCCGGCCTCCAAAGAAACCAGATCCAATGTTCGTGACAACTCCTCGAAAGTCAAAGAGTTAACCGTTGAAAGTGCACCAGTGCTGACGAAGAGGGCTCGTCAAAGGCACCGTCAACATCTCGCGCGCCAATTTGCCAAGGCTTTGAAGCCTATTGATGGGATCTGCTATAATGCAGATTTGAAACTCAGAAGGCGCCAAGTGTTCCAACAGCAAGCTTCGGGAACCTCCTCCCAACAACCTACTAACGAATGAGTTCGTGTCAAATGGAACCGTTCCACTCTTGAGGAGCGCATTCAGAAGCGTCACGCGCTTCTTACGCATGCCCAGATCCTGGTGCAAAAAGCACAAGAAATGCAAAAGGAAGAGGCAGTTAAGAGATTTTCGAGATCAAAACAATTTTGGATGCCAAAGGCTAAATCAACGCCTAAGGCAAAAGCAGGCAACGTTGCTCCCCAGCCTTCGTCAACTTCGGATCTCGCTCCTTCTGCTCCCATGCCTCCGGTAGAACCCTACAGCGGTATGGACCTCTCTAAATTTAGAATTCCGTTGAAGGGTCGCCTGGATCCTTTACACAAAGATCAAGGAAAAGCTCTTGTTAAGGAATGCTTAGGACCGTTGAAGGAACCCCGAGCAACCATCCAGACTGGGGGTCGTACGCGACATCCTAACAAGTTGATTCCTGTAATTACCCGCATGGAGATGCCTGCACAAAACCAGGAGCCCGTTAAAATTTCATCCTCACACGGGTGTGATTCCAAACGTGTGACTCCTGCTAAAGCCAATAAAGTGCTACATATTTAGAAGAAGACGCGTTGAACAGATGACAATGTTCCATCTGAGGAATCAAACCAACAGCTGATATGTTGCTCTGACTGTAATGTCGATGAGTTGTACTATCGGGCTGGGGGTACGAATAAATCTCGAAAAAGAAGTACTCGGGAGATGGATTATCACTGTTGTTCGCGGGAAAAACCGTTGCTTTCTTCATTAATGATTCCATTGTACACAATTGTAATAGTCTATCGATTACAAAGATCCGGTCTTTTTATAAGATCCGGTTACAACGAAAATCAAATTGAAAAGAAATGAAAATTACAACTTTGTTTCCTTGTTTGTCGAACGAA